GGCTTTCATGTTAGAGAAAAGAGATGTTTGGAGAAACTCTAGAAACAATAGAGACCTGTGGAAGGAACTGAGACCCGTACAGGTGGGCTCCAAGGTGGGCACTGGGCAGCAGAGTGCTGCTGTCACTTCTCACTGGGCTCCACATTCATATTGCAGGAAAATAACGTTTGACAAATCCTCTTACCCCTGGGGGGGCGGGGAAAAAAAAAAGAAAAGTTTCCCTTTTCCACTAGCAACAGTTTCAGTTTTCTTTTTTAGCTAAATGAAACTGCAAGTATTTATGGCTTTTTTATGCAGTTTCTGGAGAAAGTGGGAACATGAACTGACCAAAAATAGAAATGCTGCATACTTTTTAGCTTCCAATGCCCAGGATGAACAAAATATACTAGGCAAACAAAAAGAATTTACAGTAGTATGAGTAAATATCCTTCCCATTTCTGTTTTCAAGACCTATTAGAAACAGAGGTAAGGAAATCCATTAGTTTAAAAAATACAATTTTTGAAATTACCACAATGTTCTTTTTAACTGCACCAAAACCCAAGATAAAGACAGGGTACCAAGTGAAAGAGTGCTGATGGTGCTTTTATTGTGTGATTTGCCTTGTTTTTTTCTGAAGTACTTCTTTTTAGCCGATTACCATGTATTTACAGTTGGTGTAATTATATCTAATTACTTAATTAGCATGAATACGTGTAATTACTAACTTTGAATATGTAATTATGTCAGGGCAGTCTATTATAAATGAGGTTGAAAAAAACCCCTCATTAGGACTCTACAGAAGGACGGCTGCTCCACCCGTGTGGAGAACGCATCCCAGTTCCCAGACTGTGCCAAACCTGGAAGAGGAAACCACAGCCAGCTCCGGCCGTGTCTGGCAACAACCTCTACCAAAATCAAACCATTTGCCCCTAAAGTCTCACTTCACAGCACTGGTAGGAACCGAGCATCCACTGGTGGGAGATAGACAGGGATCTGCAAAGGATCTGCCCTCAGATGCATTTTCTCCATTCAGGTTTGGATTTTTTTCTTTCATTTGTGTCGTTCTCTCTCTGGTCGGACAAGAAATAGGAGAGAACAGAGTAACTGCAAAACTGTGCTGTGGCATTTGAGTAAAGCTTGAGAGATCAGATCCAAGAACTAATCTGCATCTGATGCATTGTGCTCATAATTAATTACTATTATTAAAGTAAAACAATCTCCCAAAATGTCTCTTCTGAAACGTTACCAGTCTTTCACTGCTAAAATCTCCAGCTACTCCTAATTACCCATTTTGCAAATTCAAATCCTGAACATCAGGAGATGGAGCTAAGGTTAAAAGTTGCTGTTACTGCCAAGAAGCATATGTATGAAAATTATGTCCAACCAACAGCCTCATGAACTTATTTCAAACCAATGCTTCCTTTTTTTTTTTTCCACTGATCAGGAGCTATTCCTGCTCAGGACTGATAGCCATTTTATGAACACAAATGAGAGTAGACCACCAAAACCCATGACCATAGGATGGAGCCAGACATATTTCCTCGTCACATATTCTGTCCGCAGTGCTTGCTCCACAACAAGTCCCCTTCTTCTCCTCTCATCTGTTTATTCCAAAGACAGAGAGGTGCAAACTCATCACAACCTGTCAATCTTACTGCTGACATCTGCCAAGCAGATATACCACTTGGTTTCTCTTCCATGTGCAAAAGATCAGGAGAAAAATACTATTTCATTTTATTCTTCTGAAATCCATTTGTGGTTGGACTGTTCCCACTGCCAAGCTCTTTGCTTAACCCTCCAGGTAGCGCTGAGGATGGCTGAAATCAGGATTGGTTGCAAACCCTAGTGCTGCCCAGTGTGCCATGGAGTTTCAGCATTAGGATGGAGGGAGCATCTTCTCAAAGACTCAATGCTTCACCACAAGAAAACAGGGAGGTGCAGTTTCTTCCATGTCTCTTTGAAAAGCACTC